GCCTTATTGAGTATTCAGGCAGTTAGCTCAGCCTTCTTCTCTAAGCTGGGAGGGTCAGGGACTCGTTAGCAGATGCTTAAATGTCAAAGGGGGACCTCTCTCAGCAGAGCTGGCCTTACTGTCTTCCCTCCTCTTCCCTCTCTTGCCGTCTGGCCCCCTGAAGTCCCAGCAGGCAGGAGAAAACCTCATGGAGAGATGCCAGGGCAGTGGCTCAGTTCCTCCGTCCCTTCTTTTCCAATTAAGCCTAAGGGCAGCTGGCAAGGAAACAGACGGCTCTACAGACCCTTGCCCGCCCCTGCCGCCCTCCTCACAGCTCGCCAGGCTCACTCATGGCCATCTCTGAATGACTCATCCAATATTCATGCCTCCATTTCAGAGATAATAACATGGGGCCCCAAAGGAGAGGAAACTTGCCCAAGGTCAGACAGCAAGGAAGGGAGGAACCGCCGGTGGCACCGTGGGGAGGAGAGCCACGGTGGGCCAGACAGACTGCCTTCCAGGGGAGAGCAACGTTGGCAGAACTCTGGTCTCCTCACTGCCAGTCTTCTGCTTCTTGACCTGGGCAGCTCCTTGACCCCGTGTGCCAGGGAAATGCCAGGCCTTCTGGTGAGCTGCCAGGCTGGAGGCCTCTTCTGGAGCCACCGAGTCAGGGCAGGTCACCTCTGGGCCGTCTGTAGACCCAGACCAAGGTGGCCCTGTCAGCAGAGGGGCCTGAGAGACAGGCACCAGGTGGGGGTGGTGGGAGGCAACAGCACTGGCCAAGGAACCCAGATGAAGAGCACCAGGGCATGGGGCTGCAGGATGCCCCAGTGCCTGCAGTTACTCAAGCCATGTCTGCAAGAGGATGCCAGGGTGACCCCTGACCGCAGGCGACCCCAGACACCACTTGGGTACACCCCAGACGTCACACCCCCTGCGTCACACACGTACTCCACACTGCACTACCGTGTTGTCACAGGAAGGACCTGAACAGCAGCAGCGCCCTGGCTACCGGCACGAAGGTCCCACGCTCAGCATGCTGGGGAGAGGCTCAGTCAGGGCTGGACTCCAGCAGAGGGACCTGGCCCTCCTGCTGCTCTCCTGGGATGATGCAGGCCGGAGACGGCTTTGAACAGGGCAAGTGAACGTTTCTGTTCCAACCCCGGCACTGGCTGTTCAGGGGTTGTTGAGAAATTCCCAGTCTGGGAAGGTGGGAGGCTGGTGGGGCTCATCCTGGCCCTCTGCTCGGGGAGCAGGGAAGCCCTCCCTCAGCTACGTGGTTGCCAGGCAACTCAGAGAGCACCCTGGGAGCTGTGTCTCCACGCCTGGTGGACTCACCCAGCGGAGGTCCCGTGCACAGACCTGCCCACACAGGTGCACACACACCTGCCACACCGGGGCCCATGATCCCGGGCAGACAGGCCACAGGGGCTTGGTGAACTACGGGCACATTTAGTCTCAGGGCTCGACATTCACCCACAGACAGGTAGATCTGGACCATATTGCCTCAAACACACACACACACACACACACACACACGAGAATCACGTGCAGCCGCCCTGTGACACACACACTGTGCACGCATGTCCTACCCCCCAAACACCCCCCACCAAACCCCTGCTGCCCCCAAGGTCAGCCCCTCCTGGGTGCACACACAGGTACACCTACCCCGTCTTGTGCCGGAACACCCCCACCCCTTCTGATACAATTCTGTCTTCTCCTGCACAGTCTTATGTTGGGGGTCTCAGATCCCAACAGTGTGGCGAGAGGGGGCTTCGGGAAGGAAGCACCCGAGGCCATAAAATGCAGTCTGCCTAGGATGGCCCCAACCCCAAGGGGGCCTCCCTTGATCTCAGCCCCAAAACCCCCACCTGTAGCCACCCTCCTGGCCCCAGCTGTGATGTAGGGGGACTGTTGTAGGGTGGACCCTCAAATAAGAGATGGTCTGCAGTCTTGGAGTCCACATCTAGACATTTTCGAGAGCTTGAAGGAGAATCAGAGGCCTGTGTCTAGAGATGGGGTTAGGACTGATGATGAGGGCGGGAAGCGGAGCGAGGTGAGGGACAGGAGGGAGCAGGCCCGTGCTACAGTGTTGTGAAAATGCTAAAACGAAGCTTGGGGGTGGCTTCCTCCAGAGTAACGTCCCAGAGAGCACGGAGACTGGGCGCTCGACACCCCTGGGTCAGAATCCAGAGGCGGCTGCTCATGGGCTGTGTGGCCTCTGGCGAGTCACTTCCCCTTTCTAGCCTCTGCTTCTCCTTCCACGCTGGGGAGGAGGCGGCCTCCCTGGCAGGAGCTGCAGGTATTGTAGCCAGCATTCGCCCAGCGCCTGGCCCACAGGGAGCGCTTGGTAATGTTATCCAGAGTGGAACCACTTCGGCTCCTGGGTCAAGCGGTTTGACCCTGAACCTTGAGTTTCCTCCTCTGTGAAAATGGGGGTTCTTGTGCCATTGGGGTGATGTGAGCGCTCAGTGAGATGGCACGTGTGAGCGGCTCAGCCTCTTTCTCCACAGAACAGTGATATGATAATACCATAAACATGGGATGAGATATGATATTACCATAAGCATCTCGTCCTGATAATAGCATTATTTATAATCAGTATCATCATCATTACTATTATTATTGGAAGAAGCATAGGTGGGAGACAGAAAATTGGCTTTAATCTCATTCCGTCATTTATTTATTTATTTTAAAAAGAAAAGCCTGTTGTTTTATTTATTTTGATTTTCATTTTTGTATAGAAGAACTGGGTGCAGGCCAGAGGTACAGGGGTGAGAGGATTCACCACAGACAGAGTGGGGAGCAGAACAGGTGGATCTAGTGAAACACACTGCTGAGGGGAGCAGTGGGGAGACAGGAGAGGTCTGCTGCGCCATGTGGGTAGCTCCCTGGCCGGTATCAAACTCAGGCCTTAGTGGTGATAGTGCTGAGACTTATCCCCAAGATCACCAAGGAGGCCCCATTACTCTCTTATTTAATGATTCTGTCACCCTGGAAGTCAGAGAGTTTACCTGAACCTCAGTCTTTTCATCTGTAAAATAGAAGCCTCTAGGCACTTTAATGGACCTAAGTGCCCAGCACCAGTGAGCCTGGTGGCTCAGTAAAGGCAACTGGAGTCTAAAGAGAGGGCCATTCTCTTATTTTGAGGCACAAGGCCAGCCTCTCCTGGTGCTGCCACCTGAGCTGGCATCCAGTTAACTGTGCTTCCTGGTCAAGTGGGGATGAGCCCCTGCTCAGGCCTCCCACCGCATTGCCTACATGTTTAGCTCAAATGCCTGCCTCTTCTCCTGCCCTATATGGCACATCCTGTGAGCATCATCAAAGCTTCTTTGGGATGGTTGTGAGCTTGTGGGATTCCCCTGAGCTCCCCAGACCACAGAATGGGAGACTGTCCTGTATTTCCCTGATGGGGCACTCATGGCACTTGGGATGTGATGATTCCTTCCTCATTTAGGGAGTAGAGGGCTGTACTGGACAGAAGAACATCACTGTCTAGGCTCCCTGGCCTCCCACTTGTCTGTGGGTAACTGAGCCCCAGGACTACATGGTGAAGCAGCAGCACTCTGACCTCCCACCCCACCCACTGTTGCCGCTGCCATCTGTCTCACCAGCCTGGAGCCAGAGATGGGAAAGCGGGGCACAGAGCCTGGGTGTGTGTGAGCCTGTGGCCTGCTCTGGAAATGAGCCACTTAACCAAATTCCAGCTGTCTCCTGAGTTTGCTAGATTTGCCTCCACAATGAACACCTTCAGGCTTGGGTGCCAGGTGGTGCAAGCAATCGCTAGGGTGCCTTTGGCAGCTAAAATGTAAAATTATCATTCATGAGCTCCCTCCCGTCCTCTGCCATGATTCCCCCCAGGGAGTAATTCCATATCCTTCCCTTGCACGTAAATATACATCTCCGTGTATGCTTTCAAAATTGGCTTTACGCTAGCGATGGACCCAATATAGATAGAGATGGAGCTAGATGGCTTTTGCAACTTTGCCTTTTCCCAGGGGTTAACATTTTGTTTCCAAAATAATCCTCCCTTAACTGGAAATGAAGTCTCAGCGATAGTTAGACAAAGGGCTTGTTAGACCATCAGAGAGCATTTGAACCTCGGAAGCAGCATACAGATTTTACTCTGCAAGCGCTGTTTCAACAAACCCAAGTTTGATGAGTTCATACAGGTAGGAACAGTGAGTCACTAACATTAAAAATGGCTATTATTTTTGCCAGGGGGTTTCTGGTTCTAAGTTCTTTTGACCTAAAGAGATGTTGATACTATCTATGTGCAGAGGAGGGCGATGCTGGGATTTGATCTCTTTCTTTTTAAAGAATGCACCGTGCAGACCCCAAGGCTGAGCACCCCTGGATTGGTGCTCTTTATATGGCTCCCTCGTTGTTGCGGGAAGGCGGGTGTGGTAAAAAGACTGGTTTACCCACAGTTTGCTAGATTTGCCTCCACAATGAACACCTTCAGATTTTGGATGGTTTCAGAGTCCAGTCTATGAAGATGGCTTTGCTGTCTGTCTGCTGAGCAGAGAGGGTCTTGTTCCAAGAACATTTTATAGGATGTTCGCAGGTTTTTGGTAAAGGTCGGTCTTCAGAATTGTCGTGGGGTCCAGGGTTTTGCCTCTAAAGCCCAAGATGACGGGAGGGAGGGGCACACCCTGGTGCTGTGAGAAGGGGCAGCTTCGGGCCCTTTGCTCATCCAGCCCCCAATGCCCAGCTCTCTGCGATGGAAGCATGACATCCACCCTGGAGTCTATCGTTTCCCTGAAAGAGTAGTTGCCACCATCGAGCGTGAGGAAGTGAGGGAATAAGTGGCCCAGGAATTGCTTCTCGGTGCCCTGGATTGTTGACAAATTTGCCAGGGTGGAGAGAACATTCTTTGAATTATCTACTGCCTTCGTCTCCACTTGGGCTTACTCTGTGAGCCTGGGCCAGACGCACTTCCTCTGGGCTTCCCCGAGCGCTCCCTCTGGAGCTGGCTCCCCGGCCTGCATCTGACTGCTGCCTTTGCCTCCTGCTCTCAGATGGCAGCGCTGTCTTCCGAGGCTGCTTCCGCAGGCCCGAGAACCTCTCCCTGGCCCTGCCGGTGACGGTCGCGATGCCTAACATGTCTGTGGACAAGTGCGTGGACCTCTGCACAGAGAAGGTGAGCCCAGGGGCCTGCTCAGGGGCTCCGCGGGGGCCGTGAGGAACATCTGGAGGAGCGGGGCTCGGGGCTGAAGAAGCAGGAGCTCAGCTGGGATGGGGGTGGTTGTTCCCGCTTTGGGCCTCCCACCGCACTGCTAGATCCTGATCTGCAGCTAGATGCCACAGTTCATATTTAGAATCTGTTAGAAAGAAATAAAATCTATTGTGGCAAAGCTCCCTGGATCCAGGGACTTCATTTTGCTACCAGATTTTTCCTGGACCAGCTACTGGGGAGAAATCAGGGCTGTGAGTCTGGAGCCGAAGCCAATTGAACAAAGGACAGCTCATTGCCCTTCAAATCTCAGGGCATTCTGCTCCTACTTAGCTGTTAGATAGAACAAATAAAGCAATTAGAGCAGCTCTCCCAACAAAGGCTGTGTCTGCACTTAGGTGTTAATATCCTTTTTGGCTTAAAAGAATGGATTCAGGCAGCTTTTCCCAAAGCCTGGGCTTCATGTTACCGTCAGACAGAGGGACGGGGCACTTACCGTGGGATGCACGCCCCGAGACAGGCATTTCTTTTTCAGTTTTCTTTCAAATCCTCCACGAGAAAGCTCCATCTCAGTGCCCAAGTGTCTTTTACCTCCTCTCTACCCTTTGCAGGGAGGAGGGAGCCGGCCCCGGCCCAGGGTCTGGGCTGGCTTAGTGCCCAGTTAGACCTGACCTGCGTTGTTCTGTCTCTGTCGCGCTCGCTGACAGTGTGAGGGTGTGCGGAGGTGCTACTTCTCTCCACGTACTACTTGTGGGTGTGAATCGAGGTTTTCTTTGAAATCTAAGTTTCAAAAAGTGGGTTGACTTCAAAGAAACATTACAGGGGAACGGAAACGAAGATGGTAGCGTGCAAGACAAGGTGTGAGCTCCTTGGGCTGCGGGTGGTTGCACAGAGTGTACAAACATCGAGTATCTGCTGTGTGTGCGTGCACCTTATACTACACACTTTTTGTCAACTATCCCTCAGTAAAGCTCGGGAAAAGACACACAGATGGAGCAGAAATTATACAAGTGGGATTTTCGGGGTATCCTCAATTTGGGGAGAACGATGCAGGAGGGGCGGGTGGGATGTACGTCGGGCCCAGCATTGGGAGTCTGGCCGGTCCAGGGGGCTCATGACCCTCTTCCTCTCCCGCTCATGTCCTGTCTGCAGGAGTACCCGCTGGCGGCCCTCGCGGGCACCGCCTGCCACTGCGGGTTCCCCACCACGCGCTTCCCCCTCCATGAAAGGGAAGATGAACAGCTCTGTGCCCAGAAGTGCAGCGCGGAGGAGTTTGAGAGCTGCGGGACCCCCAGCTACTTCATCGTGTACCAGACACAGGTCCAAGGTAAGCCAGGACCCCCAGACTTCTCCAGCCGCTCCCCGCTGAGGTACCCAGCCAGTCCCTTCCATACAGCTTGTTGGGCAGGAGAGAACTGTGCAGGCCTGAGAGCACACGGCAGTGGCAGGGGCGTTGGTGACCTGACCAGGCTCTGCATACAAGGTGGGCAAAGAGGAAGGGCCTTAGGCAAGGGGCGGGGCTTCTGAAGACCCTCACCGCTCTCCCTCGTACTGAGGACCCCCACGGCGGCCGTGAGATGAAGTGGGAGACATCCAAGCTGGGCGGGGGAGACCTGGGTCTCCAGCACAAATCCTGGGCAAGTCACTTCCCTCTCTGGGCCTCAGTTTCTCCATCTGTAAAATGAAGTTATGGATTGTTGACCTCTGAGGGCCCTTCCACTTTGAGAATTCTCTGGGCCTCAGTTTCTCCATCTGTAAAATTAAGTTATAGATCGTTGACCTCCGAGGGCCCTTCCACTTTGAGAATTCTATACATTCTCCTCTTTCTCATCTCCATCTTCTCCTTCTAGCCTTCTTCCTTGACTCGTGGAGCCCACACTTACTGTTTTTCTCCTCTTCCATCTCTTGGGGTCACCAGACTATGATGATGATGGTGATGGTGACGGTGGTGATAATGGAGGTGATGATGCTGGTGATGATGATGATGCTGGTGATGCTGGTGATGGTGATGCTGGTGGTGGAGGTAGCAGTAACAGCACTTAGGGTTTCCCAATTATTTTCCTTGTGCCCGACCCAGGATTGGGTCCCTGTGCTGCCCAGCCTACAGGAAAATCGGAGCCTGAAAATCAGCCCACGCTGTGCTCTGGATGCCAGAGCATCCGCCCAGAGGAACGGGGAGGTGTTTTTCTTCTGATTTTCACAAAGGTGTTGTAAAAGCTAGAGGCAGCCCCATCAGCCTGATGGGGGCACTGGTGGTGGGCAGCTGGGCAGTTTTTGAGGCAGCTCAAGTCCAGTTGAGGGCCCTGCGAGCAAGCCTGTGTTTAGCAAATTCAGCTCTTGGTGTTATTTACACTGTGACGAGGAAGGGTGAGCGTTTGTTAGTTTTCAGGAAGTGTTGGTTAGTCTGTGCAAAACTGTGATGTCCCAGCCTGGGGGGGAAAGTCATGCACAGATTAATTATCCCATGACCGTGAATGGCTTTGATGTGGACAGAACAGACGTTGGAGCCTTTTCAATAGCAGATAAAGAGCCCCTAATTGATGAGTTTGCTTGTTCCCTGTGCCCTGCCCCCAGGCCATTACTGCTCTTCAATTTTTCCATGTCACACTTGCAATCCCTACACACTGGGAGGTTTGAGAGACGTGCAGTTCATTGGATTGCCAAGAGCCTGATCTACTATGCCATTTATTAAGCTAAACACCTACTATGTGCCAAGCCCTGGCGTTCCTGCCAGGATCTAAATAACTGTTGAACACCTACTGTGTGCCAGGTTCTGTCTAAACCTATAGACCGAATTAACTCATTGAACCCTCACAACAATCCAGTGATGAAGAGGCTGCTGTTATTACCATTTGACAATGAAGGCAGCGTGGCACAGAGGGCACTTCAAACCCAGGCAAGCTGGGTCGAGAAACTGCAGTCTTTGCCACAGCTTCTCAACATACGCCACAAATACCTTACATGCATTAGCCATTTGATCCTGTAAGTTTTATTATTTTATTAACCCCATTTTACAGGCGAGGCATAGAGAAATGAAGAGCCTCATCACACGATGAGGCTGTCACAACCCTGGATCGAAACCCCGGTCTGTCTGGTTCCAAAGCAATATACAACACAGATGCCTCGGGCGTCTGCTTTGATTTATGGAGCTTCAGAACCAAATAAACTTGCTTCCTTTTTAATGCGGAAAACATCAGACTTTCCCTCAGAGTTGGTCTGAGCCTCCCAGGCAATATTTGAATGGGGAATTCTATTTTCAGAGGAAAACAGATTGAGAGGCCAGATACTTTCTTCCTCCCAACATTTTATTGTGAAAAAAAAAAAGAGAGCGCTCCAGAAAAAAATGGAAAGAATTACGTAGCGAACACCCATAGACTCGTCCCGTAGAGCTGACATTTGTTAACATTTATATATTTACTTTATCATGAACCTCTCCACGTCACCATCTCTCTCTCAATCCTTCTTATATTTGATGCATTTCCAAGGAAGCTGCAAATGTTAGTACACTTCATTCTGTGTATCATTAATTATAATTCAATATTTGCCTCTGATGTTTTGAAGTAACATTACGTCGAGCGAAATGTACCAATTTTAAGATTTCTATTCAAAGCAGCAGGATCATCTACCCCCCTATCAAGAGCTGAAAATAGCCACCATCCAGAAAGTTCTGCAGCTCTCTTCCTCCTTTTGCAATGTGTTCTTAGGAAAAGCACTCTCACACACCTCCTTGGTTTTGACAAAGACAAAGCCTTGGTTCACTTTTTCCAAAGTCTGCTCGCCTCTGAACAAACAGATGCAAGAAGGCTTGGCGAGAGGCGGACCTTACTCTGGGGGGAGTGACAGTGCTAAGCGCTCCCAGGGATGGCGGCCACAGTGAGTGAGCCCCTGCGAACATTCCAGGCATTCTCTCACCTGGCCCTCCAGGTGTCAGTAGTCCCATTTTACAGGTGAGGAAACTAAGGCTCAAATACATCATTTTCCCAAGGTCACCTGGCAAATGGGTGGCAGAACTGGAATTTAAATTTTGGGTTTCAAACATCCCCCTCGCAGAGCTGCCATGAGAAATCACCGTGGCTCAGGGGCAGATGTCAATAATGGCAGCTAATGTAGAACAGGAGCAAAAGGATTTTGGAGGGAATCGCAAGGGCAGAGTGTGTTGCGATCAAATGCTGCTGAGCAGGCACGGGAGCTGGGATGGACTGAAAATGGATGGGGTCCTGGCTGCCTTCTGCAGAAGTTGGTCTGTACAGGTAGCAGGGAGGAGCCCACTGGGAAGCAAGGAAGTAGGATGTGGGCGTGTGGGCAACTCTGCCAGAAACCAGCTGAACGAGGTGAGAAGAGTGATTGCTGGAGGGGAATTTTTTTTCTGATGATGGAGCTATTCAATCGTGTTGGATACTAATGTGACCAAGTCAGCAGAGACGGGGAGAGAAGATACAGGGGGACTGGTGAAGCAAGGAGACTGGGAAGGAGGGAGCACTACAGTAGGGGACAGTCCCTTCATTCCTGGAAGGGCAGGAAGGAGGACATAATGGAGTGCAGAGCCATCTTGTGAGCCCAAGGGGCGGGGGAGCCCCACGGGGAGAGGCAGGTTGATCTGCTGTCCCCTACGTGGTGGAATAAGGAGTGAGGTCCTCAGCCCAAAGTGAAGAAGCAGGGCTGGCACGGAACATCTGGGGGTCCCCCCTCTTCCTTTCCCATCCCAGAGCCCTGCTCTGGGGCTTTCCTTACATCACCTCTGTGCCTTCTTACCTCCAGTAGGGGTGTGGTGGGAGAGGCTGAGGCATAATCTTTGCCTCAGCTCTGATGGTAGTGGCATGCGGATGCCTCTGTAAAGCCAGAGAACTGAGAGTATCAGGATGGGGCTCAGCTCCCCAACCCATTTTACAGGTGAGGAAGGAGAGGGCTAGAGAAAAATAGTAATAGCTTCCTCTTTTGAGTGCTTTACTGTATTAACGTCTTACATGCCTTATTTCATTGGATTCTTATAAGAGCCCTATCAAGTCAATATAATTATTTACTCATTGATTCTCCATCCATCCTTTACCACCTACCCACCCATCTACTTACCTGTCACCCACCCACGGACCCACCCACCCTTCCACCTACCCATCCACCCATCCACTCATCCACCCACCCATCCATCCACCTACCCACCCAGCCATCCACCTGTTCATCCATCCAACCGACCATGAAATATTTACTATCACATGCCAGATGTGATATATGTTACACCAGTACTAGGGAATCAGCAAAGAACAATACAGTCAGGGTTTTGACTAACAGTTATTTGAATTGCAGCAGTGATAAGTGATAGGAAGGAGATGAACATGACATACTCATGAGAGCCCGCGGAGGCAGGGGAGGCAGGAAGGAAGTACCAGTTCAGTTGAGAGCTGAAGGATAAGATGTGTCTACCTGGCAAAAGCAGGTAGGAGACTTTGAGGGGAACCGTGTGAAGGTGCTGGGCCAGGAAGGAGCAGAGATGGAAAGTAAAGAGATACCAGGTGGCTGGTGGGTGCAGGTATGGGTGGTGAGAGTGGGTGGGTGGGATGTGCCTCGGCCGGGCCAGGGCCAGGCCAATCCGGACTGGGAGGCCAAGATAGGAACCTTGGACTGGATCTCATGTGGATGGAATGAGGGTTTGATTCTGGAGGAAAGTGTGGGGGTGGTATGTGAGAGTGACTCACTGTGCCGGGGGAAACTGAGGCAGGGGGAAAGACATCCTCCCAGCTGACTTTTGTTCTGTCCCTGCTCAGTGTTCATCCCTTTTCACACAGGGTCTCATTTATCTCTCGTATCAATCCTGAGAGAGAGGAATGACTTCTCCCACTTTACATGTGGGGAAACTGAGGTCCAGAAAGGGTCCCATCCTGTGCACTGAGTCACATGAATGGAAAGTGGCAGGGGAGGGACTTATGCTGGCCCCTCCAGACAGGCCCCGATGACCCCCCACTGAGCACTCCCCATGCCCTGCCCTTTGCAGACAACCGCTGCATGGACAGACGGTTCCTGCCAGCCAAGTCCAAGCAGCTCATCGCTCTGGCCAGCTTCCCGGGCGCCGGCAACACCTGGGCGCGCCACCTCATTGAGCTGGCCACCGGCTTCTACACTGGCAGCTACTACTTCGATGGTTCTCTCTACAACAAAGGTGAGGAGGCAGAGGGCAGCAGGCAGGGCAGGAGCCTGGCAGGGCTTGGGAAGGACCCACTGGGAGATTGTGGGAATACCCCTTCCTGAGCACCTACTGTGCGTTGCTCCTCTCCCCTCAAACATTATCTCTCAAACATCTCCTGGACACCACATCCTGGGTACCTCACGTGCATCCATTCAATAATGGACATATGTCAAGCACCTACTAAGCGCCTGGTAACTTCTCCCCAATTAGGTCACTACGAACATGTGTTGAGCACCTACTATGTGCTGGGGACTGCGCCATAGACATTTGTTGACCAGCAACTCTGTGCTCTACACAGAGGTGCAATAACTATGTTCACTTTGGGGGTATTTATTGACATTTACAACATTTATTTATTATGTATCTCATCCACATTAAGTCAGTGATACTTGTTGTGTGGGTATTTTATTTTTACTCTGTTCATCGGCATTTACTGAGCTCTACTATGTTCTAGATGTGCTTCCTAAGTTTGGTTTGCTGACAGGTGCTGATGGAGTGCCAACTGTGTGCAGCCTCTAGATGTAGGTTTGGATTCTCACAGATGTTGTCTTGGCCACTATTAGGTGCCAAGAGCCATGCTGGCACCCTGCACAGTGGATGGAGGATGATGACACCATTTCCCAGAAATGAGACCTGAGGCACCTGCAGAGGAGAAATAACTTCCCCAAAGCCACACAGTAGGGGCCTATGGGCTATGGCCTAACAAAGAACAGTGCCCGATTAGAGGACAGGTCACTGTCTGTGGGTTCTCACCCACGAGCACAATTGCAAGAGACCTCAGGCTCCAGGAACAACAACCATGGGGTTTATTTTACAAACAGGTTAACGAAGAGCTTACTGTATCCACAAGCGACGGCTACCTCACCAGATGGCATCAGTGATGGTCGCCACCAGTCACCAGAAGTGAGGGACAGCACTGTCCAGTAGTGACCATCAATACTGGTCCCTCAGAGGCGGTGTCAGAGACACCCAGTGTTAACAGCCCTTTGTGAGTTGTTGGGCTATACCAACAACAAACAGCTTCTTTGAGACACCAGGCCCGGGGCCTTTGCTTCTTTCAGGCAATGTCAGAGGCAAAGGTCCTTTGGCTTCTCTTCAACCCTCCTTGGTCAGAGGTGGGCTGCTAGATGCTTCTTTTCTTCTTTCATCAGAGGCCAGGAACCGAGTCTTCCCCTTCTTCCTTCGGAGGCTGGAACCATCGTCTCTCTTTCTTCGGAGGCTGGGGTCGTCTCTCCTGTTGGGGGGCTAGCATCATCTCTCCCTCAGCTCCCTCCAACCCTGGCTTATATCCTCTTTCAGGGTGCCCCACCCACACATCTGAATGGACCATTTTTCAATTCTGTGGCTGATTGGGCCATGTAGCACCAATCAGCTCATAGCTTGCACCTGATTGGTCCATTCCACAATCCAAGTGCACTGTTACATACACTGCTACAGCAGTACACTGTTACATAAAAGGGCTCTGAGGAGCAACTGCCACAACTGACGTGGTGGAGCAGCAGGGAAAAAGAACACCACTGCTGCTGCCGGCTCCCACCACTGAGGCAGCTGGGTTCTGGTAACAGCACATCTATGTACGAGGTTCCCAGCTGGGGAGAGTTGCATGCTTAGGGCAGTATCCAAGCTCTTAGCCATTGGGCAGTGTCTTGGAGAAGCCCCCTGGGAAGAGCCCCAAGCTGCCTCCCTCCCTGGCCATGGCAGCGCTCCTGCTCCTGGACTCTCACAATGTCACAGGTTGGAGGGTCCTTGAGAATCATGTCATTCAGGGACCCAAAGTAGTTTCATCTCGTGTGCCGGTCCCGAGGAATGCCTGCTTTGGGATGCTGTGTTTAGAAGGAGTCTGAGGATCTGTTCTCCCTCGGTGACAGTGTTCCTTGACCTGGTAGTGATGCTGTCGAGGGTGTAGAACGGGGAACGGCGGTCTACCTGCCAGGTCTGTACCATCTCTGCTCCAACTCAGCCTCAACCTCAGAGAAAGAGCAACGGAATCTCAGATGAAGCCTGCAGGGTGAATTTTCATTCTGAACGCTCGCTTACCACCTCTGGGAGCTTGGACCAGATTCTCCACCGCTCCGAGTTTCTTTTTCCTCATCTGTAGATTGGATTGTCAGCACCAAAATCACAGATATTTAAAAAAAAAAATAAGATAGTATGTGATATATGTATTATTTATTTTTAATTATTTAAATTTGCCCACACCACCCCTTGTCCCTCTCCCCCGCCCACCCTTAACCTCAGAGCCCTCATAGTATTGCTTAATGTCTGTTGCTTTCCATCTTTTGCTTTATCTAATTGGCTGCTTTGTGAATGTCCAGTATTTGTTTTTGTCACCTGCCTTGCTCTACGTTACATAATTCACTCAAAATCCCTCCATCTTGCTGAAATAACTGCATTTCACGTATCCGATGGCTGAATAGTAGCCCATAGAGGGGTGGACCACGTCTCAATTCAGTCCTCTATCGATGACATCCGGGCGGCGGCGGTGTTCCGGGGTTGTAAATGGTGCTGCGATAAACATTGCAGGGCGTATATTTTGTTTCATATTTTTGGATAGAGGCCCAAGAGTGGGATTGCTGGGTTCAGCAGTACTTTCGTTTTTTCCAGCCTTTTAAGGTAAATCCAGATTGCTCTCCAGTCTGGCTGCACCAGTTTCCATTCCCACCAGCAGGGTAATAGGCTGCTTCTTTCTCTGTAGCTTCTCTTGCGCTTATTGGGGGGTTTCTTCCTGTGTGCTGTTCTCAGGGGTGTGAGATGGGATCTCATTATGATTTGAACCTTATCAGAAGCCACGATGAACATTTTTCATATGTCTCTTGGCCTTCTGTAGCTCCTCTTTGGTGAGTTATTTGTTCATATCTGCTGCCCGTTTATGAACTGGGTGATTTGTTTTTCCGTTGTTGGATTGTTTGAGTCTTTATGTATCTTGGATATTAACCCCTTGTCAGTTTATATTGTGGAAATATAAAATACACATTATTTTTAGAAAGAAACATAACAAGGACAGTCAGCTATTTAGCCAAAGTCAGGAGGCTCCATCTCTAACCACACACCTGGGGAGTTTTTAAAGTCTTGATGCCCAGGATATAGCCAAGATCATTTTGATTAGATTCCTGGGATTGGGGCAAGCCATCAGCCTTTTTTAAAGCTCCCCATGTGATCCCAGTGCAAAGTCAGAAGGAAACCCCTGACCCTAGACTAGGAACCCAGCAGTCTCCTTCCAGACCCACGACACTGCAAAAATGGGTCTCTGCCTTATGCTTTTTTATACTCGAGTGTTGGGGGATATCAAGAGTTAATAATTAATTGGGTTGATAATAAATTTAAATAGATAATTGAAATTTTAAGGAGAGGAAAAGAAGAGAGAGAGAGAGACAAGAACAAGAAGGAAAGAAAGAAAGAAGGAAAAAGAAAGAAAGCAAAGGAAGGCAGGCAAACCCTCTGACAACTCCCCTGGCTCAAGCTGTGTAAATGTTTCCTTAAGCCCCACTGAGAAAGGCAGGGGGTTGTGGGTTGGTCACAGGCAGCTGAGGCTTTGCTTGCAGCTGCCTTTTCTTTAGGGCTTAAAAATCTTAAAAATACTTCCCATGGCCTGAACCCTTGCAGAGAACAATGCGCTCTCCCTGGGAATTCAGGACTGGCAGTGGGGTGCAGGCAAAGAGAGGACCCTCCATCCCCCAGCTAAGCCCCCAACCTCTCTCCCATCACGTTTGCAGCAGAGAAACGCTTAACTTCATGAAATCCTGGAGGGCCCTGGAGGGTGCGAGAGGGAAGCTTGGAGCCAGAGGGAGGCGGGGCTGCTTGTGCCCTAATTTGCCCCCACTGGGCTGTGGTCCTGCTGCCCCATTCAGGCAACAGACTCCAGGCATATGAACAATTTGCAGGGGATGCACACTCATCTGCACCTGCTCTTTCTTCTCCCTGGGAAGTCAGTCCCCTCCCCACGCTTGCCCCAGCTCATCTGTCTGGAAACCTGCTCCTCCAGCAGAGGGGCACCTCCCCCTTTGCAATGTCTCTGGCGGACTCCGGTGTCCTTCTCTTTCACCCTCCTAGTACCCAGGATCCTTCAGTGTGGCCCCTATTGATATATTCTTGTCACCATTACTAATACTAATCATTGTGGGCATTCACTGAGCGACGGACCCAGCACTGTGACAGTGATAGGTGCTTTCTATTTTTTTTATAAGTCAGTATTGGGGTGTGTGCACACAAGGAGAGTAGGATTTAACGAAAAGAAAGGAGGAAGCGTGGGCAGAGACACAATGAGGGGAGCCCCCAAATGTCCTTTGAGAACTGTTCACCCTATCCTGGGGGCAGTGGGCAGAGAGCCTGGTGAGCAGTAGGGGTTTAAGGGGTATTAGGCAGAGAAGTGGTGTTCGCAGATGAGTGGGGGAGAGGGGTTAGCTGCAGGATCACCCAGCTGAGTGACAGTGGGGAGGAGAAAGGGGCAGTGGGGAGGGACATTGAGGAGGTCATTGATTAGAAATGAGGGCCCCTAGGTGATGGGGTGGGCATGGTGGCTTCTGTCGTGAGCTGATCCTCCAGCGACTCTTGTTGCTTTAAGTCCTTTAGAATTCCCCCCCCCCATTCCTGCTCCTATCTAAGTGGGTAGCTGCGGGCATGACCACCTCATCCCCCACGCTGCTGGAGACCTCCATTCCTCCCGTGTCTGCGGGTCCTCCCCTGGGCCCGTCCCAGTTCAGAGGGCTGCCTGACGTTTACTCACTGCCCTCCACTCTCTCTCCCATCATCCTGGCGATCGTCCTCACCCCTCAGCCCCTCACACTCTCACACAAAATACAGAGGCGCTGTGAAGGCGTTTGAGTGAAAGAGAGAGGCATGGATGGAGGGCGGATGGATGGTTGGAGGGGTGGATGGTTGGGTGGATGGAATGAGATGGGTGGATGGTTGGGTTGATGGATGGGTGGATGGATGGGTGGATGGAATGAGATGAATGGATGGAGGGATGGATGGATGGATGGACGACCCTATCCTTCCAGAAGCCAAGTGTCTGCCCCCCTTGAATTCTGCCTTCTCTTCCTCTTACCGAGTGAGCTGCCTATTTGTAATGCAAGCTTCTCTCTGCATCTGTGCATCTACCCACCTGTCTTTCTGTCTACCTGCCTGTCTGTCTCTGTTCATCTTTCTCTTGCCCCTGTTATGTAAGTGTAGTTCCCATCTATTCTTTCTGTCTTTGTGTCTCTGCTCTTCTCTCTCCTTATTTTGTTTTTGTGTTTTTCTCTCTCTCCTCTTTGCCCGCCGTCTCTCTAGGCTCCTGTCTGCTTATCCCCTCTCTCCACTCTCCCTCGGCTCTGTGTCCCCTCTCTCTCCCTTGCTCCACCTCAGGGACCCCACAACCTCAAGTATATGCTCAAATTCTGTGGCTTGTCAGGACCACAGAGGGCCCGAGGGAGAGGTGCGAGGAGGCCCAGCATGGGCAGCAGATTGAAGAAGCAGCCTCTCGGCAGGAATTTCTGTTTTGTGGACAATTTGCCTCAACACATACCCCATTGTTTCTGGGGGCCCCAGCCTCCAGGACATCCATGTTTTGGGGTTAGGAGTGGACATGTCCTGCCCCAATAAGCTCAGGGCATTCAGAGTTGTTGAGTGTCTGCCACTGCCTTTCTCTGTGCCTGTTTTCCTAACTGCAAACTATATAGGCTAGTGTAAGATGGGGTGGGTGTGGGGGTAGGAAAAAAAAAAAACCTTATTCTCTGTGTTCCTGAACCCACAAGATCATTTCTGCAAATCCTGAGACATTGTCTAGGCCCTCAGGTGATCTCTATCTGCCTCAACTTCCTCACCTACAAAAACCCTCATAGGATGGTTGAGAGGGCTGGGGTGTCTGGTGTATGTGCAGGACTCAAAATCAGTGTCCAGCCCAGTGCCAGTGCTGTCACCCCCTCCCCCAGCCACGCAGGCTTCTCTCGGTTCCTCAGTTGTGAAATGAAAACCTGATCAAATCAGAGTCCCCCTTCCTTTTGCTAAATCCTTTTAAGGACTCCCCAGTATTTTGAGTCAGGTGCTGATCTCATTATCACGATCCTCACGACCCTCCCACTCATGTGCTCCCCGTACTCTCTTCTCCCTGGGTAGTCACTTGGTGACAAGTGTCTCCCGCCCATCACAGGACCTTGGCATTTGCTGCTCTCACCATCTTTTCCTCCTCTCCTGGGCTGGAAAATTCCTCTTTATCCTTCAGTTCTCAGTTTAAACTCCTCTTCCCTACCTCCCAGAAACCCTTTCTGGGTGCCTCTTACTACGTCAGTGATCTTGGCCAGGCCGGCCGGCCACTCAGTGCCAGATCACAGATTGGATCTCCGTCTCTTCAGTGTGTCTCTTACCATCTGCAACCCACAGCCCCCCAGGGCATGTCCTTCTCACAGAGATGGTGGAAGCACAGAGACGCAACAGAATGATGGAATGCATCTTGAGGCTTCGCTAGAAACCCACTTCTGCCCTCATTCCACTGGCCAAAGCAAGTCCATGGGCATATCCAACCTCAGTGGGGTAGGGGAGTCGATGCCAGCCAGAGGAATCCTCCATTATGCCACCACCTGGCCCCCTTCGGGGCACCCAAGCACAAATACTCTAATGTAGAATGGACCACGGCAGTGATTTTACAGTCCCTTGCATTCACAGGCACTTTTGCAAACCATTTTATCCCCAGCTCCGAGGACAGTGTCTGGCACATAGTAGGTGCTCAATAAATATGACAGTAAATGAAAGAGTGAAGAAATGCATGCACGAGGCTTCCGGAGGTGGCCCAGAAACCGGTGGGTGGGGTTCGTGCCTCCCCCAGCTCACTGGCCTGTTCCCTGCCCCCACCTGCGGGAAGGGTTTAAAGGTGAACGGGACCACTGGCGCAGCGGGAGGACCATCTGCATCAAGACGCATGAGAGCGGCCAGAAGGAGATCGAAGCCTTCGATGCCGCCATCCTGCTCATCCGTAACCCCTACAAGGCCCTCATGGCAGAGTTCAACCGCAAGTATGGCGGCCACATCGGCTTTGCTGCCCATGCCCACTGGAAGGGCAAAGGTATGGCTTGGTGCAAGGGCAATGAGTGGGGCAGGGCCCTTGAGGGCACGGTGTGAGGTGCAGCTGCCGCTTTCCATGTCCCTGCGGACCCACAGGCACCACCCGCCCCTCCATGCCCCGCGACAATCACAGTGCAGTGGGTAAGGGCAGGAGCTCCTGGGCAAGACTCCCTGGGTTCAAACCCCGCTCTGCCACTTCCCAGAAAAGCTGCTTTGCTACCCTGAACTTAGATTGTCCCGCCACTTAATAATTGGGGCAGAGGGAGATGGACACCCTGTGGGTCTTGAAGCAGGTTCAAAATTCCCAGGAGGGGGGAAATGTGGATCCAGCCCAGGTTGGAGACCAGGTGGCCATGGGCTCATCGCTGAGCTCCTGTGCGCTTGCGTGCAAGTGTGCCTGCCGCGGACCCTCCCGGCAGCTCTGGGGGTCGGGTTGGGAGGCACAGAGACCGCTAGTGACTTGCCCCAGGTCATCTGGGAAGTGACAGAGTGGGGCACTGAGCACCACCTCTGGCTCTTGGCACTTGGCAGGTGACAGCTGTGTGCGTAAATGACTCAGTGCAGGAAGTGGCCCTGCCCACTGACAGTTAAGAGAGCTTTGGAGTGGAGCCCACCTCTGCCATCTTGAGTACCTTGTAACCCCTCCGGGGGGGGGGGTGTCCTTAAAATCTGCCTTTTTGTAAAAAAGATTTATTTATTTGTTTGTTTGTTTGTTTATTTATACAAGAACCTGGGTATAGACCAGATGCGCGGGAGGGTGAGAGGATTCACCAGAGACAGAGTGGGGAGCAGAACAGGCAGAAGGACCTAAGTACACTGGGGAGCAGTGGGCGAGACAGGAGAGGTCTGCGCGCCATGTGGGACTCTCACTAGCCAGCCAGGATTGAACCGGCGCTGCAGAGGCTGTGGACAGCTTCACAGTGTGGTGCTCAACCGCCTGCGCCACCAGGGGAGGCCAAAAATCCGGTGTCTTTTAGCATCCACATCTCCATCACCATAACCAGAATTTTTATTTTTAAAAAAAGATTAATTGATTGATTGATGCATACAATAACTGGGGTGTAGGCCAGAGGTATGGGGGGTGAGAGGATTCACCAGAGACAGAATGGGGAGAACAGGCAGATCTACTGAAATACACTGCTGAGGGGAGCAGCGGGTGAGACAGGTGAAGTCTGCTGCGCCTTGTGGGCAGCTCCCTGGCCGGGGATGGAACTCACGCTGCTGCTGAGGCTGTGGATAGCTTCATAGTGCTGACACTTAACCCCTGGGAGATTTTTTAAACAGCAAATCCCGCCCCAGGCTGGATCAGAATCTGCATTTTAAGGAGATTCCCCCAGAAGCCTCATGTGCCCTTTAAAGTTTGAGAACCACAGCTGTAGGACGCCCTCAGCATGCACTATGGAGACTCCTGCAAATCCCCCACTCTTTTGGTTCCAGAACGTTAATTTTACAATCTCCCTGGAGTGGGTCCAAAGCAAAGTTTTATGTGATATGATTACACAAGGTGAATTGTCCTGGATCTGTTTAATGAAACAGAGACTGTGTTTAATGATTCTCTGGGGAATTAAGTACAGTTAAGCTATTAATCAGGCCCCGGTTCCTCCCGACGACAAGACGGAGCTGAGGGTGGCCAGCCGGTGGCCCGCCGGGCCCGTGGCGGCAGTTCCGGCGGAACCAGCACTCATTACCAATGGTCCGCGGCTCAGCGGGTCTTTATTACCCGCTTTGAAGGCAGACATCAATTACTAGAAATCCTGAGCTAATTGAGGGCCTTTGTTTTTAGTTTTTGTTCTTCCTACAATGAAGTAATTGAGGAGCTTCAAATGAAGAGGCTGTGCCATAGGGTTGGGGGGAAGAGAGGGGGTGGGCAAAGCTCTGGAACTGCTGGGACTCCAGCGTGGGGAGCTCTCCCCTACTCGATGGGCAGGTGCGTGCCTCCGCGATGCTGGGCGCCAACATCAAAACAACTGTGACAGGGACCAGCACTTTCCGAGCCCCGCTGGGTCCCAGCCACTGGGCCCGGATGTGGGCAAATCATTCCACCCCCTCTTCCCAGCTTGTCCAGGCTATAGGTCTTGGCACAGCCACCGTTTTGCAGGTGGGTAAACTGAGGCTCAAGGAGATGGATGAGCATCTGCAAGGTCACGCAGCAGATCTGGAGAGGGGCTGGGGTTTGAGCCCTGGCAGGCCGTCTCCAAAGTCCCCATGTCTACATTCACCTGGAGGGAGACTAGGATCTAGCGAGGACAGTGGGGTTGGTGATCAGATCCGGTGCTGCTAGGGTTTGCTACGAGGGTTTGCTGGAAGGGCAGGAGCCGGGCTCAGTCTGGGATAGCTGTGGGTTCGAATCCTGCATTTGATGCCCACTATGTGGCCTTGGCTTCCTGCTCTGACCCTCCCTTTTCCCAGGGCAGCTAGTAATTCTACTCCCCTAGCTTCTTGTGAGCACTTCTGCTCCTCAGAAGTGGGAGCTGGTGTCCCAGGGAGGTTCGCAGTCAACAGGGTGTGATCTATCACCATCCTACCTGCGTTCAAAGCTGGGGGAGCCCTTCTCCAGCAGCGGCTGGCAATGGTGAGAAGTGACCAAGCCTGGCAGTCGGGGTCTGGGGGCTCCATCCACCTGGCTTGTGCCCCGGGAAAGCAGTGGTCCTAGACCATTGGGGATGCTGTGAAGTGACTCAGAAGTGGGAAAATTCTAAAACAGGGCAGATTATACATGAGCTGGATTTTTCTCTAATCACTTAGATGCATCTGGTCTTAACCCATTATAACAGTACGGGCCCAATTAGCCAGATACATTGTAAATAATCTATTTTAAGGATAAAAACTATCCTTGTCACTGCATAAATATTGCCCAAACAGCCCTGGTGCTCCAGCGGGGTGGTGGGGGCGCAGGAGCTTCACCGCGGATTCTGATGTGTTCTGCAAAGAAAGAGGAGCCCTTTATCACATTGCTGTTTGGAGTTGGGAATTTCAATTTAGTTCAACAACCATTTATTGAGCCCCTGCCGGGTGCAAGGCAGCAGGAGGAAGTGGGGGTAAGGCTGCTGGTGATTGGGATGGGGCCTAGAATCAGACAGGCCTGGTCTGGGGGGTGCTTCCCTGCTGTGTGACCCCAGGCAAGTCGCTTCACCTTCTCTGAGCCTCAGTTTCCTCACTGCTCCTTTCCCTTCAGGGTAATCACTAGGATGAAATGAGATAATTGGTCACCCCTCCGGCTGGGGTAAGGATTTGGTGATGAGCCTGTCCTGACTTTGCAGCTACCTTGGGAGACCCACTGACCTTTGTTCCAGAAAGAGCAGGGTGGGGCGAAGAGTCTTTATGCCTCGGTGTCTTCTTGTATTGAATGAAGACAGTGGGGGCCTCCCTGGTGGTGCAAGGGGTTAAGCAGCGCATTAGGAAGCAACCGCAGTCTCTGCAGCGCGGGTTCGATCCCCAGCCCGCCAAGGAGCTACCCTCATGGCGCAGCAGACCTCTCCTGTCTCGCCCGCCGCTCCCCTCAGCAGTGTATTTCACTCAGTCTGCCTGTTCTGTTCCCCACTCTGTCTCTGGTGAGTCTCCCCCCTACCCTGTCCCACACATCTGGCTTGTCCCCCAGATCTTGTATGCATAAATTAATAAATCTTAAAAAAAAAAAACCTTATGAATGAAGACGATGATACTTACTTCATAAGGCTGTGAGGAATAAGTGGAATGGAGAACTGTTCATATATTATTATACGATGCTGTATATTAATATAAATGTATTAAAATATAGAAATACAGTAACCCATGTGGTATAGGGCTGTGCGGGGTTAGTCACCCACTGAGAGAAGGGAGGGAGGGCTCTGAATACTCAGGCAAAGCAGCAGCGCTGAGTTGAGGTGGGGGTATCAGGTGAGCCTGGGGCTCTAAGGGAAGCTAAGGGTGTCACGGCTGCTGTGAATGACCCCCCTCCTGTCACCGGCCCCCCTGCTCTCTCCACAGAGTGGCCCGAGTTTGTGAGGAACTACGCCCCCTGGTGGGCCACCCACACGCTGGACTGGCTCAAGTTCGGCAAGAAGGTGCTGGTGGTGCATTTTGAGGACCTGAAGCAGGACCTCTTCATCCAGCTGGGCCGGATGGTCAGCCTGCTGGGGGTGGCCGTCCGGGAGGACCGTCTGCTCTGCGTGGAGAGCCAGAAGGACGGCAACTTCAAGCGCTCGGGGCTCCGGAAGCTGGAGTATGACCCCTACACGGTGGACATGAAGAAGACGATCTCTGCCTACATCAAGATGGTGGATGCAGCCCTCAAAGGGAGGAACCTCACGGGGGTTCCCGATGACTACTACCCCAGATGATGCGGCAGAAGGGGGAGGGAGGCTGGGAGTCCTGATCAAGCAGGGCCTGAGACTCGAGACCCTGGGGGGCCCCATCTGTCAGCTCTTTGGTTTGGGGAAAACCCCCTTGGCTGCTTTTGCCTTCAGTGAGTTTCCTGCATGACAAAGGGAGCTCAAGAGAAGAGATTGTCCAGGTACTCCCCACCCTAACCTCACCCCCTGGAGAAGGAGAGGGCTGCTGGCTGGAGGAGTTCCAGCCACATGAATCCTTTGCTGTCTCCCCCTCTCTACTCCACCACTTTGGGTTCAACATGAGGGAGGAAGTGCCGCAGCCTGTGGGTGCCCCCTGCAGGTTTGGAGGACCTTGATGCACGAGCTAAAGGGACTTTTGTAAGAAAAGGGGCTGGGGCTGCGTTTCCCCCCTGGGCTGAGCATTAAGTGCCCCCCCCTTCTCTTCTCCACCCGGGCAGCCATGTCACCAAGGTTTTTGCAGGTCACCTCCTGTCTGAAGAAAGATTGCTGGGAAGCTTCTCCGTGGCCTTAGGTTTCTGACACTCTGGGTGGGGGGCGGAAGGCAACGGTGCTCGTGGTTCATTGGCACCACCCTGTGGGGGTCATGGCATCAGCAGCCCACCCCAGGTCACAGCCTCCTGAGAAACAGTCTTTCCACCTGCCCTTTTCCTCCCTATGTCAGGTCATCTTGGGGTTCTAGAACCTACTTCCAGGGGTTCCTAAGGCACCAACAGTTATCCCACTGAGGCGGCCCTGTAGTCTCGCACGCAGAGCCTGCGTCAGACCGGGAGCCCCAGTGACACCCTCTCTCCATGGGCCCAGCATGGATCTCATGTGCCCTGTTGACCACCAGCGGGGCCTGTGTGCCCAGGTGTGAGAGGGCGCCCAATCAGGCAGAGCCACGCCCAAAAAGAGACCCCCTGGATCATAATCCCACAGGGCTGCTTAGGGGACCCTTTAAGGAACAGGATGAACTGGAAGGCTTTTCACTTTCATGCAAATGCTGCTTTCTTGATGCCGAGACATCAAACCAAAGGATTTCCAAGAACCCGAGTCACTGATCACCACGGAAAACGTGGAGCCAGGGTCCCAGCTCTGCCCCTGCCTTGGCCGCCAGTGGCCGCTCATCGGCCACACGGGCACCTGCTCCGGCCCCACCGTGTAGAGGCAAAAGCCATAAGTCACAGCTCTTTGCTCTCCTGTCCAGAGCAGCCCGCCCCAGCAGTCCCTCTGAAGCCTCAGGGGGCAGGTCAGTGCTCGTTCCCAAATAGCCAAGAGACTATGGAGATGGCGAGTGTAAAGAGATATATTTTTTTAAGAGGAATATGACTAGTACATTCCCCCCCGGGACCTGGCCGTGCGTAGAGAAAGCCCAGGCACGAGACCTGGGCCCTCCTCCCGGACCCCCCACCCGCAGGGTCTGGGCCTCCCCGGGGCCAGCCAGGGGGCTCTGAATGTATTTTGTACCATGTTTCTTTCCCCGGGCTTATTTCTAGTCTTCTTCAGAGAGGCTGAGGAGGACTTGGCCTCCCTCCCTGGAGGTCGGCTCTCTCCGGGAGACTCTTGGCCCAAGAGCTGGGCCAGTGCTTTGCGGTGGCCACTTCTGGCCACCCGCCTCTGTCTGAAGATTCCTCAGGTCAACACCATCATTAAAAGCAAGTTTTATTGAAAATTCTACCCTGTGGTACAGCGTCATGTGAGGCAGGCTCATAAATGGGGGGGTTTCGTGTGTGTGTGTATGTGAGTGTGTGTGAGAGTGAGTGTATGTGAGTGTATGAGTACATGTGCGTATGTGTGAGTATGCTAGTGTGAGTGTGTGTGTACGTGTGAGTGTGTGAGTAAATGCATGTGTGAGTGCATGAGTGTGCATTCGTGTGTGTGCTAGACGCCCCGAGTGTGCTGTGCACTAGCATGCACAGAAGGGAAGCTGGTGAGAGCGCGGGGGACTGACGAGACAGCTGCTCTGTTCCCTGGTAGGCAAAATGGGTTCTCAGTTTCCAAACCCACGAACACCCCTGAAGGTGGCCTTGTGTCCTGTGTCCTCACACGAGAGCGGCCCCTGTGGAGCGGCGCGGGGCCCAGCCGGGGGGAGGGACAGCATTTCCCTGTGGAGGTGAGGAGCCCAGCGTGGGAGACAGGGGGGCCAGGCAGAGGTAGGGGAGGGCGGGGTTCAGGAGGACTGGGGAGGGGGAGGCCTGTCTCCCAGCCTGGGGTCCTCTGAAGCAGGGACGGGGAAGGAAGGGCTCAGAAGGAGAGAGCGAGAGGTTGCTCCAGCGTCGTCCCTGCCTGGAGATGGGTGCCGGCTCCGAAAAGTCTTCGGTGATGACTGTCGGGGCCCAGGCTGAGCTCTGACCCCAGCCTCCAGCCAAGCCTCACCTGGCCACACAGTCCCAACCCTAGGCTCTTCACCCAGGGGCCCGTCTAATCTCTAATCCTCATCATAGACTGAGCCCCGATCCTGGGCACACACTGATCCACAATCCTGGTCTCACACTGGTCCCTGACCCAGCTCCACAGGAACCCTGACCCAGGACAGTCCCAGATCCGGCCCTACTCGGTCTCACCTGGCCTTTGACACGCCCCGGCCCGCACAGGCTGCGCCCTGACTGGCCCAAACAAATGCTGACATTCTCCAGGCTGAACCTGAATCTCTGCCACAGACTGCGCCCCGGTTCTGACCTTGGCCTCGGTCTGAGCCCTCACTTGACCACAGACTGGCCTTGGCTCTGGCCCCAGGCTGAGCCCAGCATTTCCTTCCCTTTCTCTGAATAGCACCTAAACCAAATCCTCCCTGACCGCAAGTGAGCGGAGCCGGGGGCACCTGGCGCCAGGCTCTCCTGGACTCTCCTCCTCGGTGGCTTCTCCTCCTCCCACGCCGGGGCCCTGCGGGCGATAGGCCGACACCCCGCCCTGCAGGACAGGGGGACAGCCAGCACCTCTTCTCTGCCCTTTGCATCACACCTCGTGACCGTCTGGACCCGAGTCTGTGTGTTTCAGACCTGGAGGGAAGCGAGGCCGCACTCACCGACTCACTTCAACAAACACTTGCAGGACATGGGCGGGGCGGGAGGGGCCTGGATGCTCTAACTTCTAGAGATGAAAAAAATAAATAAAGCCAACAAAAATCCCAGCCCTGAGGAGTTTACATTCCCTAAGCACCAGCAGTGCCGGTAATGGTCGGAAAGCGTTGGGGAGATCCTGGTGGGTAAGGAAGGGAAAGACTGGGGGTTGGGGGCTCCTGACCCACCCAAAAAGTTATTAACCCCATTTTATGGGGGTGCCACTGACGCACAGAGATCATCAGTAACTGGCCTGAGTCACCCAGAGGTTAATACCAGAGCCGGGCCAGCTGGTGCCCTCTCCAAAAAGCCCCAGGGCAACAGGGGGTCACAGCGCCCCTGCACCCCAGGAGGCAGGAAAGCAAGGGACGCCTGTGCTCCCGCCCCCGCTGTCGCCTTGGGCACAGGACGAGGGACTCAGCATCCGCTACCTTCTGGGGTTTCCTCGGGCTTCTCCTGCACCCCTAGAGGCGCGGCACGTGCATTCCCGGGGACAAGGTGTGGGGAGGGGGAGGCCAAGGGGATGCTGGGCCGGGGCTCCAGGGGAACCCTCTCCTGCCAGACTCAGCCGCTCCCTCCTGCCACCCCTTCCACTGGGCTCCTCCCCCCTCCCTCCCTGCTGTTCTCTTCACACCCCTGCTCAGGGGGTCCCTCCTCCCTGTCCATCCTCCAGGGCTCAGCAAACCTTTTTTCTTTCTAGTCCTTCCCCTCCTCCTCTCCCCTCCTCCCTCCTCTCCTCCCTTCCCCCTTCTTCCCTTCCCCCTCCCCTCCCCCCTCCTCTCTCCCCTCCCCTCATCCCTCTCACCTCCTCCCTCCTCCTCTCTCCCCCCTCCCCCTCATCCCTCTCACCTCCTCCTCTCTCCCTCCCCCCTCCTCCTCCCCCTCCTCCCCTTCCCCTCTTCCCTTCCCTCTCCCCCTCCTTCCTTTCCCCTCCTCCCTCTCCCCTTCTTCCTCTCCCTCATCCCCTTCCTCCTCCCCCTCCTCCCTCTCCTCCCTCCCCTCTCCCCCTCCTCCCCCTCCTCCTCCCCCTTCCCCCTCCTATTTTGTGATGCTCTTTCTCAATTTCTGCTTCTGCTTGTGCCCGCATCGCCCCATCTCCCTCCACCTCTGAGCTGCCTCCTGGCCTGCCTGCCTCTTGCTTGCTCCCTCCATGCTCCCCACCCCTGCTGTCCTCCTCCTCCTCCTCCTCATCTTCCGGGAGAGTGGGGGCGACTCAGCAGGATCCAGACGCAGGGAGACAAATGCTACCCAGGCCTGTAACCAAGGAAGTGGTTTCCTTAGCAACAGCATCCGCAGGCGCGCGCTCCCGGCCCATCCCTGGCTGCTCCAGTGAGCACGCAGGGGCGGGCAGCGAGCCCGGGAGGGGAAGCCAACAGAGCCGCATCCCCATCGGGGTCCTCTCGAGATGTGGTCAGAGACCAGCTCAGTGCCTGGCATTTTGGGGAGACTCAAAATTAGGAGCAGTGGCGGGGGTGGAGTCAGAGAGGCCGGTTGCCGGTGGAAGAATCCCTGGAACTTGGGGACAGACCGGGGGTGGGAGGGCGAGGTGGTGAAGACGGCAGAGGGGCACCGAGGCTGGGTCTGTGCAGCCCGAGGTGACGTCACAGGCAGAGGAGCAGGGGGTGGTGGGCCAAAGATGGTCAGCTGCCAGCTCCCTGTCTCAAGAGCGCCCCGTCTAGGGGGGGACAAAGGGGCGGGAAGGTGGAGACCCACACAGGAATGTCTCCCTTCATCCTCCCTGCAAACGGGTGTTCAGGAGCATGGGGGTGGGGGGGCAGCACAGCCCCAAGGACTGTGCGAGGCTCAGAGAGGTCACTTCCTCGTGTGACCCAAAAGTGGGTGGCAATCCTTGGATTTGAACCTGGAAATGATCCAGACACTATCCAAGAAGATAGAAGACAGAAGAGGGTAGGAATAAGGAGAGACAAAGAGAGGGCGAGAGAGAGAGAGAGAGAGAGATTTAAGTCATTGCTTTGGCACTTTTTCCCACTGGTAAAACAAAAATATGTTCAATTTTAGAGAAATGAGAAGAGGGGAGGGAGGAAGCAAATGCCCCGTAGTACCATAGATTTTGCAGCTATAAATAACTGTCCCCAAAGAAAGCACCTGTCAAGACACATTCCTTTCCAGAGAGACGGATTGTGCCCCCACAATCCCTGATATTTAAGGGACTCACAGGGTCACGGGGGCAAAGGGCAGAAAGTTGATCGATGTCACACAGAAACCTCCTCGGTTCGGCTTTTCCCCAAATGCAATCAGCACAGGCGAGGAGGGCTGTAAATCTGGATGATAATAATATCCGTCCTCACAAAGGCAACATGTTTATTTATCATGTTCGCACGTTTACTATTTCCCCTCAAATTTACAGTCTGCAATCTGCCAGCACGCAGGGGGAGAAACATGGAAATGAGAACAAACTGGCAGAACACGGACAAGGAAGAAATGATAAAATATTTATCCCTTCCGTCCATCCCCCCACAGCCCGACCACCTTAAATCCAATTTTCAAACAAAGGTGGTGATGCCTCTGGGCCGGGCCCTGTGTCTATTTTGGCCCTGGCAGCTAATTGAAATGAACAGTCATCGTGGAATGGAATGTCTTGCAGCAAAATGATTTTCGTGTATTCTGGAGTCATCTGCTGAACAATTATGGGGAATGAAGAGTCGGCCAGAAGTGAGAGAAAGGGTTGAGCTTGGGGAGAGGAGGAGGGGAGAGCCGTGAGTGTCTTGGGGGGGGACTAGCAAGAGGGGGACCCTCCTCCTCTTTGGCGCTGCCAGCAGAGTTTGGAGTTTGGAGCAACCACCGGTTCTCTTTCAAGACCTGAGTTAGGCGCCCATGCTTCTGAATCAGAATTTCCAAAAGATGGAGTACAGCAGTGGGGAGGGAGGGAGGGGGAGGGATCCTGTGGACTTGCCAGGAGGCAAACGTGTATTTACACCATGGAAAATGGCAAATGCTGCAAATCAGGTGGGTGTGGCGTTTTGTTGCTGTTCAAGCACCAGGTGTTACGTGTTTACCTGCACTGTCCAAGCACGCAGGCCACTCTGAACTGTTTATCTTTTCCCTGTCTTTATCCATCCTGTCCACTCTACCCGGAAAGCCTTCATCTGGCTTCACCTCCTTAAGACGTGACTCGGGTTCTTCCTCTTCCAGGCAGCCTCCCCAGATCAGACAGAACAAAGAGATGACTGTTCTTCTAATCCCCTTGGATCATGGCTCCAGACATGGCCACTGGTGATTGCTTCAGTAATCTGGGTGTGTGTGTGTGTGTGTGTGTGTGTGTGTGTGCGCACGCACGCGTGCATGCGTGCATGCGTGCACATTCTCAAGTGTGTGAGACCAGGATGTGAGCTCTACTAGAGCAGAATCCACGTCTTTACCTGAGTATTTCCATATGCCTCTTGACACTAAGTGATGAACAAATGTTTAGCCAATATAAGAATGAAAACATCGATTACATTTAACACCATCCACCAACCTTTTAGCTCTCACAATTTTTGAAATAATACTGAATTGTTTTTGGATAGAAGGATCCACTCAGATCCTGCTCAGACAATGGCCAATAAGAAAGGGGAATGAGGGGCCTCCCTGGTGGTGCAAGGGGTTAAGCACAACACTGTGAAGCTGTCCGCAGCCACTGCAGCACGAGTTCAATCCCTGGATGGCCAGGGAGCAACGCACATGGCGCACAGACCTCTCCTGCCTCGCCCGCTGCTCCCCTCAGCAGTGTATTTCAGTGGTTCCACCTGTTCTGTTCCCCACTCTGTCTCTGGTGAATCCTCTCACCCCTCCCCACATCTCTGGCCTGTACCCCAGCTCTTATATGCATTTAAAGATTAATGGATCTTTAAAAAAAAAAGGGGGAGGGAATGAGAAACTCTTACCAAGACCCAGCCACCTCAGCGTGTTCTCCCGCCCTGCTGCTCCAAAAGTCAGTTGTGGCAGTTGCTCCTGAGGGCCCAGCAACCACCCTTTATTCAGCTGCCCTTTTATACTTACTTCCTGGATTGTGGAACAGGCCAATCAGGTGTGAGCAATGAGCTGATTTGTGCTAAATGTTCCAATCAGCCACAGGATTAAAAAAACGCAGACTTGTGGGTGTGGCACCTGAAAGAGAATATAAGGCAGGTCAGGGGAGGGGGTTGCGGAGGAGGTGGGAAGAGAGACTGTCCCAGCCTTGGAAGAAAGAAGGGGAAGACATTGTTCCTGGCCTCCAAAGAAAGAAGAAAGAAGGGCCAGAAGTTGAAAGAAGGAGGAAAAAAATAAGTATCCAGCAGCTGACCTCTGAGGAGGGAAGAGAAGCTGAAGACCTCTATCAGGGTCTCTCCGGTCTGGTCTCTGACATCACCTCTAAAAGAGCGCCAATGACTGGGCCTGGTGTCACAAAGAGCTGTTAACACCACCTCAGGGGGCCCAGTAGTGACCAGCACTACTGGCCAGTGCTGTCTAGCACTCCTGGTGACAAGTGGCTGGTGCTCTGCTTGTACTCCTGGTGGACACTGTCTGGGTGAGACAGCCAGCCACTTGTGGCTACAGTAAACTCTTTGTTGCTCTGTTTGTGAAATAAGCCCCGTAGTTGAAAGAGCCTGAGGTCTCCTGCAATTGAGCACATGGTTGAGAACCCACAGAGAGTGACTCAGCCTCTTGTCAGGCACTGTTCTTTGTTCGACTATAGCCCATAGGCCCCTATGTACAGGTGTTGTATTGCTATAACCCTTGGCCTTGACTTTTGGTCTTTTGGCCTCTTGGGGCTCTTTGGCACCTCTCTTGTCTCAGAGACCAGGCAGGTGGGTAGCCATTCCAGCCTATCCTGGTATCCCATCCAGCCTCCTGCCCCTACCTCCCCTGTTTCAACACTTCTCACGGTGATAACACGAGCTAATATTTATTGAGTACTAATTGTATGCTGGGCTCTGTACTGAGAACATGCATACAGCATCATTAAACTATCTGAGCCAGGGACTGAGGTAGAGGACTAATAATCCACCCATTTATAGTCAAGGAAATTGAGGCTCAGAGACGGTAAGTAATTTTCCCAATGTCACACAGCTGGGAAATGATGGAACTGGACTTTGAACGTAGACAGTCTAGCTCTGGAGCCCATTAAGTTTAAAAACTGCACTGAAATCTAGGGGTGAAAGGAGTCCAGAACCAAGAAAATGTTTGTCTTGGGCCTCCCTGGTGGCGCAAGGGGTTAAGCACAGCACTGTGAAGCTATCCAAAGCCTCTGCAGCACAAGTTCGATCCCTGGCTGGCCAGGGATCTACCCTCATGGCACAGCAGACCTCTCCTGTCTCTTCCACTGCTCCCCTCAGCAGTGTATTTCAGTCTGCCTGTTCTGCTCCCCACTGTCTCTGAGTGAATCCTCTGGACTATACCCCAATTCTTGTATGATAAATAAATAAATCTTAAAAAAAAAAAAAAGAAAAGTTATGTCTGGCAAGGCACCTGCAGCAACACAGGTGATAAGGGGAGAACAAATCATGCAAAGGGTGAACTTTCTGGGGTTGAGGATCCATGGGGTGGGGTGAAGGTGGAGGCAAGGCCACCATTCATGAAGCAGGCTGGGAGCTGGCACTCCAGATGACTTTGGGTTCTTAGCAGCAAGGTTGGTTTATAGGTTCCCATGGCAACTGCCAAGCAATAATCTCTTTTTCCACAGTTCAGTGATTCTCTAGAAATTCGTTCCTCCTTTCTCTCACTGCCACGCCTCCCAGCCCACAGAGGCACAGTGACAGCCTCTTCTCCAGGAGAGGCTGCAGAGAAGAGAGAATGACCCAAGATTCTCTCACTGTATCAATGGAGGAGGGAAATTTGAGGGTGAGGGCAGAAGAAGAAGAGAAAGAGGGTCCTAACACCTCAAAGTTCCAATCATCAGACTGGGGAGGGGCTGCAAAGGGGCATTCTCAGACCAGCTGAAAAATCTCATGGAAGCTATGAATTGTCTCCCCAGAAAAATCAAAGAAACAACCCCTCTATTGAAACAAGCAAACTGGCAAAGACTCTGACAAAATCAACTTTTTTGGAGCCTTTAGAATCTAATCCAAGATCAAAGCAACCAGGGAAATGCTTGAAGAAAAGCTCTTAAGGATAGAATTTCAGTACTTAAGGAAATCCCTGTCAGGTATCTGACTGAGCACCAAGATAATGCAGTAGGTACTTCAGTTACCACACAACACAAGGAATATGGTTTTTATTTTAACTTTTTAAAAAATTTACTTATTTATATATATTTTGCATCATTGTTACTTTTTTAAACAATGTTGGCTTTTTTTTTTTGTCAAGTGTCGCCCCATAGAATTCCCTCCACCAATGCACCCGTGCACCATCACCACAGCCCCCTGTGCTCCTTCCTCCCTCCTTCGATCCTTCTCAGCCCCCCTCCCCTGCAGGATGTCTCTGGTTTATAATTGTCTGTTTGTTTTTGTTTTGTTTTGTTACTATTTTTCCCCCATGTCTAATTTGTTTCCCTTATATTTCTTCTATAAGTGAAACCATCTGATATTTTTCTTTTTCCTTCTGACTTATTTCACTGAGCATAATTCCATTCTCAGCAACATGGATGGAGCTAGAAGGAATATAATTTTTGAAAAAATAGTTTGGAAAAGTCACAAAACAGACAATTGCAGCACCCAACAATCAACAACAGTAAACTTTGGGTAAAGGGTGGGGGGAATCTGATTTTCAGAGTTCTCACCTCATCAAACTCAAAATGCCCAGTTCTCCACACACAAAAAAATTAAAACACAAAGTATGCAAAAGAAACAGCAAAGCATGGCCTATTCAGAGAGGGAGAAATTAATTGGAAGAAACCATCCCTATGAAGTCCACATATTGGACTTAGAGATAATGACTTTAAGTCAACTGCCCCAAATTTGCCTAAAAAGTTAGAGAAAGCCATAAACATCAGAAAAATAATGTGCAAGGAGAATATCAGTAAAGTAGAAATTATTAAAAGGAACCAAATAGAAATCATGGACCTAAAAAGTACAATAACTGAAATGAAAATGACCGGAGGGATTTAACAGAAGATTTGAGAAGGCGGATTGCGTGGCTCTGCATGCTCTGCTCCCCACTCTGTTTCTGTGAATTTGAAGATAGGTCAATTGAAGTTATCCAGTCTGCGGGACAGAAAGGAAATTGAATGAGGAAACATAATGCCTGAGGAACCCACGGGACACCAACAAGCATAACAGCAGGTACATTATTGGGGGAAGGGGTCTGGGGAGGAAATAAAAGGATAAGGAAGGTTATTTGAAGAAATATTGGCCCCAAACTTCCCAACTTTGTTGAAATGCATGAATGCACATATAAAAAGTTCAGTAAACCCCAAGTAGGAAATACTCAGGTCGCACTGAGACATGATAATCAAACAATAAAAGACAGAGAATCTTGTAAGCAACAAGACAGAGGCTACTTAGCACACATAAATTATCAGTAAGATTACCAGCCAATTTCTCATCAGAAAACCTGGAGGCCAGAAGGCAATGGAATGATGTATTTAACATTCTGGAGGGAGAAATTTGTTGACCAAAAATTCTATGTCCAGCAAAATAGCTTTCAAAAAATGGAGAGATGGACATTCCCAGATCAACCAAAATGGAAGAATTTCATTGCTAATCAAACTGCCTTATAAGAAATGCCTTGTAGGGCCTCCCTGGTGGTATAGGGGTTAGTCTCAGTGCTATCACCACCATGGCCTGAGTTTACTCCCCGGCCAGGGAGGTGACCCACATAGCACAGCAGACCTCTCCTGTCCTGCCCACTGCTCCCCTCAGCAGTGTATTTCTACTCCCCACTCTGTCTTTGGTGAATCCTCTCACACACACACACACACTCCCGCACCTCTGGCCTGCATCCAGTTCTTCTATGCATAAATAAATAAATTAAAAAATGTATTGTAGTCTTTCAGTCTAGAAAGAAAGGATATTGGACAGTAATTCAAAACCATGACAAAGTAAAGAACTCTGGTAAAAGCAAATACATAGATAAATAGAAAAGTCAGTATTGTATTTTTACGTAGTCTATTAGCACAACAACATGAAGGTGAAAGGGGTGGAGTGGGTGATAGAGATGTATAGGACTATGTCCGGTAAAGGAGTCAGCCAGGTGGACATGGTACTAGGGAACCCAAGACCCACTGGCATTTTACTGAGAACTATGATGTAGCCTCTGCTGGCTCTGCTCTGCATGGATCACTGAATGACTTCTGCTTCTTGCTCAACTCTCTCCTTCCAGATTCCAGGAATACCCCCTTTCCTTCCTACTTGGGGCCCGAAGGTGGTTACAGTTTCTTGGGTAGCAGCCCCAGATGATGACACAATCTTGTGGGCCCTCCACATGCCGGGAACAGCTGTGTAATGACCCCTTTGTAATGAACCCTCCTCCAAAATTCCTAATCTCCTACTGATATGCTGACTGAGACACTTGGAGGCTGAGACTGCTGGCTGCCTCTCCAACATCATTCATTCACCAATACATCCATCATTTATTCACTTGCTTGCTCACCTGCTTCTTAACTCCTTAACCGCTCATTGGCTCACACATACACTTATCACCATGGCTCCCCCACTCACTGCTGAGTGGTGTTGACCCAACGTGCTCCAAAAATGAGTCTAGTCCCCGCCCCAGAACCAAGCTTCAAAAAGACTACCTAAGCAAGGCCCCACCTTCTAGGTCTCAGGGTCCCCTTCTGTAGAATCAGGTCATTGAATTGGGTGACAGCTGAAGGGTTCAGTCATCTATGCAATGGGAAGACCCAGGTGAACACGGACTTTCAGTCACACAAACCAACCCACTGGAGGAACCAGGCCTGGAGAGTGGAAGGGCCTTACTCAGAGGCAGGGTTTTTCATACCTGTGCCCCCTATTGTCAAAATCATGTGCCCTCTCTGTGTGTTGAAGGGCTGAATGCACAGAGGCCACTGGGCCCTAACACCAGCCTGAACTGGGAAGAGCCTCACCTAGTTCTGGCTTCATTGACTGTCCCAGAGAGCCAGCCCCTCCTCCCCTGGCCTCCCAGGGCTGGGAAAAGTGTTTAATTAATAA